CTTTTATTAGGAAAACGAAGAAGAAGCTGATAATATTTATAACTTATCATCAAATTCTAATAGTTGTAATGGATCTCCAGCACAAAGTTTTTTGGAAATGTTGAGCAGCGGACCGAGTCGATCACCATCTCCTGCTCGTCCGCCAACAGTTAGTCATGAAGATTTAAATAATCCCAGTTTAACAAACTGGACTTTTCAACGACAAGAAAATGTAAACGACAGTAGAGTATTAGTCTTTATTATTATTTATTTTTAATAATAATATTACGTATTAATCACATATTTATAGGATGAAGCTGTTGATGCTAGAGTAGAAGCTATGCTTTCTCCACGAAATTCGTTATTACTACCTAGACGTTTTTATTCTGAAAATGAAATGCAACCTAGTGCTCCAAATATTGCAGAACTTGGATTAAAAAACTTGACTAAATATATAAATGGTTTGAAAAAAAAAATAAAGAAATATGAAGACGAATTTGAAGAAAATTTTGGTTATCGTCCAAGTCATTCTGATAAAATGAGTAACAGAGATATAAAACGATTATGTACAGAATTAAGTAAATTGCGAAAAGAGCATAAGTTATTAAAAGAAGATCCGATTAGTGCATTATTAGCTAATGAAAATAACAAAACAAAAATAGCTAATGATAGTCCAACAAACAACAATAATAGTCAAGAAAAGTCTAGAGCAATGTCAATGGAAGAAATGATAAAAGAAATAGAAAAAAAATTAAATGAAAAGAGAATAAAGTATAATAGACCCGAAAATATGGAAGAATTAACTTATGAACAATTAATAGATGAAAAAACTGCTGTTCAAAAAGCTTTGCTTCATATTGAAAATACTTTTGGAAGACCAGTTTCTAAAGAAGATAGAGCTATTGTACGACCTTTATATGATAAATATAGAACTTTAAAAAGACTACTTATTAGAGCAGGCGTGGTAAGTGATATTGTAATATTTTGAATTTTATAAACTTAATAATAATAATAATTCTGTATAGATATATAAATGTATAAATTATTTTTAAATATATCTCTTACAGAACAAAAATAAAGATAGTATTTCAGAACTAGCTACTATTTTGGAACATGAAGCAATGGATTTTACATCGTCCAATTTACCTAATAATTCATCTGATACAGAAAGAAGAGCTAGCGAACCTGATATGTCACATAGAGGTATTTTGGATTGTATAGATTCGATAGATCAATTACCAACTGATAGTGATAGTCAGCACAGCAGTAGCGAAGGAAGTCGTAGTAACAATGAAAGTCTTCATGCATTACCACAGTGAGTTTCTAATTTATATAATATAATTTATTAAAATCAATTTCTTAAAGATAATCAAATTAACCAATTATACTATTATACAATTTTATCTGTCTTAGAGAAGAATTATTAGTTCAACAAAAATTAACTAGAGAAGAGAAAAAACGTTTACGACGAGCTTTAAAAGAATTAGAAGCACAATTTGAAGCTCGTACTGGTCGTAGAATGCAAAGAGAAGATCGTGGCCCGCAAGTTACAATCGTTTACGAATCGTATAAACAAGCAAAAGCAAAACTTCGACTAATTGATGCTCTTATAGCTAAAAATGCTTGATGCAGTATCTAATGGATGCCTTGAAATTTACATCCAAAGAAGTTTGACATCCAAAATATATGTGCAGTGATTATTATACAATTGAAACCTAATATGACATACAGTTATAAATATGATGCTATTGTATAATAGAGATGTTAAGAAAAAACATTTAAGAAAAACTAAGATTATTAAAGCAAGGCAGATGATTTAAATTTAATAGAAATCAAAATATTTTATAAAAAGAATGGAAATTTGTTTTTGATTATAATACTTTGATTTTATATGTATGATTCTAATTAGTCAACAATCTGTTTTAAAGAACATTAAACTTGTATAGAATATATTCTAAGCTACAAAAAATGTATAATTAATATAAATACTAATTGCAACTGAATTTATTTCATTGACAAATTAATTTCTTTGTAACTTTGATAAAAATAATTACTACGTGTAATATGATATTTGTAACGAAATATTTTGAATAACAAAAAATTTCGTTATTATAATTATATATATTATTTTAATAAGACTCTTCTTATATTGGTAACTTATTGAGTACATATTATGAAGTGATATCATATGATAATAAATAATAAGATTAGTATCAAGTTAGTAATTTGAAATTTAAACATTAATAGTTAGAAAAACAGTGGCGTTATAAACAATCTGTCGATTTGCACTCGCAATTTCCTTCAAATACTCGTAAAATTCATTAAAATAAGGAAATGCTTACTGCTTATGGTTATTGTAAACTCTGCCTATTATACAAATAAGAACATCACATAACAAGATATTAAAAAAAAAAAAAAAAAAAAAAAAAAAAAAAAAAAAAAAAAAAAAAAAAAAAAAAATAAAAAAAAAAGAAAAAAAAAAAAAAAAAAACCCAAAAAAAAAAATTAAAAAAAAAAAAAAAAAAAAAAAAAAATAGAAAAAATAGAAAAAATAGAAAAAATAGAAAAAATAGAAAAAGAAAAGCCACTGACTTACTTTTAAAGTTTTGTACATATTTTTATCAATGTTATTTAAAGATTCGTCACTTTTTAATAGAAATTTAAAAAGTTTATCTTTTTTTTAAATTATTTGCATATATAATATGTTATGATAAAATTATATTGTTTTTTTATATTTTTTTAAGATCATTTTTTTATGTTTCGTTAAATGAAATAAGAGAACAAGAAGACAAAAGAAATGAATTGTTATTTAAAAAGTTATTATATGTTTATATCTTACTAAAAATCAATATATAAAATACAGAAGTAATATAAAAAAAATGTTAAAAATGGAAAATGGTAAAGTATGAAAATAATCATTCATGATTGAATGAAATGTAACAAGCATATTCTATATTAATCTCCTTTCTTTAATCATTACATATTTGCGTCTTTTAATTTATTTTAATAATTACTGGTATTATTTATATTTTTAAATTGCTATTATTAAATTTATATCTCTTTATATTTCATAATATGGAATATTATTTTTTTTTAAAATTAATATATCAATTGGATAAATATAGAAAGAAAAGAAACAAATATGTAAATTATATATTATTTAAATTAAAATTAATGTTTATTTTATTGTTCAAAGATCTTTATCAAATTGAACGTTAAGAGTAAACAGATCTGTGGGGTTATTTGTAATGTAAGTACCTTGTAAGAAATATCACATGTTATAATTGTAGAGTACTATAAACTGTTACAGTCTTATAGCTGTATTAAACATATTTACTAAAACCTCGTTAATTTTTCCGTTTTATATTTGTATAAGTGAAATTTTAAGGCAATTATCTTGAAATAATGCAAAATATGATATATAAACGGTAGCCTTAAAATTCAACTTGATAAGGCGTCTTAAATGAAGGTGCTATATTTTCAGTTTAAATCATATTAAATGAAAGAAATAATTTTGCAAATCAATCTCTATCAAATCTATGGAAGTGCGCCAAAGGGGTTCGCATTTTTTCTTACTATAATTTTACAAAAATAAGCTACAGAGCTTAATTGTACTAAATATGTATTAAAAATTTAAAAAAATAGTGTGTAGGAAATCTTATATATATATATATTTATTTATTTATATATATGTATGCGATTTAAAATTTTAATCTAAACTAATATTGATTGTTGTTCAAATTTTTAAAACGATTATAAAAAAATTTCTAAAATATTATATTCGTAGTTTCAATTGGTTCCTTACAATATATTATAATTTATTCATAGTTTAACATGAAAAAATTATGGCGGCCCCAATTCTTAGCGCTAATCCATTTCGCACACTAATATAAAAAAATTTATTTAAAATATTTTTAAATATTTTAATCTTATATTAATCCAAACAATGTTTATTATAAATTTTATCCGCTGAATTAGTATATGCGGAATGTGAATGAAACCGAAAAAGATTTTTTAGACCAAAGCATTTTTAGTCTGTGATATATAATATGAGAGATATATTACTTATATTAATATGAGAGAATGTGTGTGAGAAGGATTTAAGTTTTTTTGTGGAAACGATTTCTTGACGTGAGGAAATGTTTTCGGCCGTCTCCTTCGTAGAAGGAAATTGAGATTGATGATCTGTTTAAAAGATCGTAAAATAAAAATAATAACTTGAACTTGAATGTTACATTTCTTTATAAAAAAAAAGAGAAAAGAAAAAAGAAAAAAAGAAAGAAAAGGAAAAAGAAAAGAGAAAAAAGTTGGAGTAAAAAATTATGATGAAAAATTTGGCAATTTAATTTAATAAAATTTATAATTTTTTAATATTTTTTAATAATTACAAAAGACAATTTTTTTGTATTGACTTCCTTCCGAGCTTAACATTATATCCATTATAATATTAATATTATATTATATCTGTTATAATATTATTATTATTACATTTATTGATATATTTGCAAAATATAAAACAAGTTATTTTATATTAACTATTAGATATATTATTTTCATCAATTTTTAGTGTGATCTTTATGATAAAAAAAAAAACAATACTGCCTTAGAAATGATTAATATTCTATGAAATAAAATTTTTTAGATTATATATAGAAATGAAATTTATATCTTCATGAAAATTTTAAAATGAAATCCGATTTTGCATGATTTTTTTATAATATATAATTTTGTGTAGCTGTGTAGTTACTTGTGAGATTAATATTTTTGTTAATAATTGGCTAAAATTTCTTAATTATGAGAAATAAGTTATTATTACGAATGATCAGATGTTGTTGCATAGAAAAAAAGAGATAGTCTTGATGATATATCTATTAAAAACATCATATTAAAAACAAAATTAAAAAACAGGTAAAGATTTATATACTAAAATAATTTTAATTATTCTGCAATATTTGAAAACATTTGAAAACTTATTATGTATATATGTGTAAACGATATAACTATATAAAGTAGATGCGTAAATAAATATATAAAACTATACAAATCTATTCATTATAACAAGTAGCACACAGAATTGAATAAAAGAAATATGTGGTCTACTAAAAATATGATTTCTATTATACAGAATAATCCTAACAAAATTCTTAATATAATATAAATTATCATTATATTTTTTTAAATAATATAATGATAAATGACAAATCTTCTACTACACAACACAAATGTTTACTTAAGAAAAATTATTACAAATTTTATTTGTTTTATACTTTATATGTTATTATCATTTTTTAATCAAATTTTAGACCATCATTTAATATGATATTACATAAACAATCATTTCAATAAATATCATATAACAAATTTGTTAATAATTTCAGCTTATGTATTAAATGTGATTCACTAAAATACACTATTACCACGACATCAGTTTTAATTGTTTTTGAAATGTTTGAATTTGCCGTAAAAGTCCGGCTAAACGAAGTGAAGTAGGTTCCCTTGCAATAATACTATTTCCTCTTTTATGAAGAGATTTATGTTGAAAATTCGATCCATTAGATTTAGTTGATGTAAATGGAACAGTTGTATATAATTTATCTGAACCCAATGGAATTTCAGTTGATATACAAACATAGCTATTCTTTTTTTGTAACAATCTCATTTGATGTTTCAATGCCATTACCTAAGATCAACAAGTAAAGCAATTATAATAAATTTTCAATTTATGAATTATTAAAAATATTATAATTAAATCATAAAATATAATAATCTAAATATAATAAAATATCATAATTTAAGAATAATAATAAGTCATTTTACCTCTTTATATAAATTAACAACAGCATTTATTTCAGCTTCTTTAATACTTAATTCTTTCTCTAAATGTAATATTTCTTCTTCTAACTCTTTATCACTGTATTTTTTTGCTTTTGTTTGTAATCTTTCATATCTCCTATTGATTAAAAAATATTTAATTAATACATAGATTATATAATTTTATATTTTGCAGAAATTAATTTAAGTTACGTGTTCATTTCTTCAAATTGGTCATGAAGATTAATAAGAACTTCTTGTATTCCTTTTGAATCTTGAGAATGATTAACTATTGTCGTATTGGAATTGTGTTTATCACATATACTACCCTATAATTTGTTTTAAATTAATATTCTCAAACAATCTATTACTTTGCAAGACTTCACCTGATAAATTTTTGACTGTATCTCTGGATTTTCCATTTTAGAATTTACATTTTGATGAGAAGCAAATAATTTTAACATTTTATTATCTGTTGCATGTAATATCTGTGCTGTATTTAATGTATTTAATTGATTTTCTGACTTAGTATCCTGAAAATAGACGTGACTTTTATATTTTGAAATAAAATATGAACTTTTTTAATACTATTACTTTGAATTTTCTAATAAACGAACCTTTTTTTTATGAAGGTTTTCATATTTATTTATATCGCCATTAATTTTTTGTTGTATATTTTGATATTGTTCAAGACTTGATTTTATATTTACATTTAAATTTACATTACTTACTCCTTTCAAAAACATATTTTCATTTTCTAATAAATGTTCACCTTTACCCATAAATAAATTTTCTTTTTGTATATGTGCATTCATTTGAGAATTCATTTGGGAATTCATATGAGATAATTTACTCTGTTGATCATTTATTTGTTCTATAAGAATAGATGCAGGTTTCATACCTCTACTAATTTTACGAATAAGAAGAGGAGTAATTCCAGTCGTAGCAGTTTGTCTTGTTTTCATTATACTTAAAACCTTTTAAATAAAGAAAAGTTATAATAATAAATACAGCTCATTTTTATATTTAATAACATACTTGTTGTATATTTAAACCTAAATTATGACTTGGGGTTACAGAAGTACCCACTACAAAAGGTATATTTCGAAAATTGAATCTACTGAAATATGATCGATTTGCTCTTTTCAATTTTGAAGCTAAAGTTGGCATTTCATAATTATGAGTAATTATTGGATTACAATATGATGCTTGTATAATTGCATGTTGACACTGATGTGAATTGTATTTTTCCATAGTACATAAGGGAGTGGTTGAAACCTCCAAATTATAATTTAGATCATTAGTAATTGTATTTTTTCCTCTAAAAGTAGAAATATATATTATACTTAATGTTATCATTTATATAATCATTATTATAAGACCTTACTCTACTTTCTGTCCAGATTGATATTGTCTTTGGGAACAATTTTGAAGACCATCTATATTAGTATCACAAGTATTTGCATAATTATTACTTTCACATTTTGGATTTATAGACATATTCTGTCGTTTATTTATAGCTGAAGATTTTAATATGTTAATATAGTTCATATGATGTTCAAGTTTTGAATGTTTACTAGGAATAGCAGATGTGCTACCACTTTTTGCTGCAGTATTATGATAAATTTCCACTACTTCATTAGATGCTTGTTGAGACTTGAATGTATGACGATTACTTACACTATCTAAAATATACATAAAAATCAATATAAAGTTCTCAAATGAACATCTTTATATGATACTTTTTTGTTTTCGCCTTTTTGTATCCTTTTTTCCTAAAAGAACTGTTTCTCTTGTGGTTACAGTACTCCTTGAATTAGAACAATTTATTTTTCTTCTTCGTTTCTTTTTCAATGAAACAATATCATCTAGCTTACATAAAGAACCTTTTTTGCTTGATAATGCTGAAGAAATTGCTCTTTCTTTTTTCTCATTTCTTACAGAAATTTTATTTTTATCACTGGGTCCATCTTTTAAATTACCAGAAATATTCAATTTTATATTATCTCTTATAGATGGTGATTCTTGAAGTATATAATCATTTTGATTATCCAGAATTAATTGTTCAAATGATTTGTTTGAACATTCAATATTTTCTATCAATTCTGTAGAATATTCTGTTAAATGCTTTTGATATGGGAGTTGCCAATTGTGATTGTGTTCTTCACACTGTTAATAAGATTTTTATAAATATAGTTATGAAGAACAACTTCCTTTAGAATGTGTATCAAATATATTCATGATTTAAACATGATACATACTACCATGTTTTCTTTCTGAATTGGTAATAATGATTTTGATTGTATATGTATATTTTGAATATCATACGTTCGAGGTGTAATTGAAGAAACTTCAATTCCTGCTGCTTTCTGTTTATCAAAATTTTGTAGTTTTTCTTCCTCTTTATCTTGTAGATTAATTTTTGATATAATATTTACTAAACTTGATGTTATAGGTTCATCCTTGTGAATTATATTGTCTGTAACAAAATTTGTTTGTACTTATTTTTATAATTTTGCAATAATAACAGAATATAAAGTAATAAAAAACATCAAATGTTAATATTTATTATATCATTTTCAAATATTTACAAACATACATTCAATATCAGAATAATTTTCCAAAGAATTATTATAATTCATCTGTTTGGAAATTATAGTTTGATCATTACTAGAAGTCTTAATTTTAGAATCTTTCCAATTTGGACTATACAATGTCTTTTTATTTTCTTGTATTTTTGGCATATCATGATATAACATCTTCATATATTTCATATGAGATTTTAACGAATCACATCTTTCTTTTGTAGAATGCAACCATTGTTTTACATTTTTTACATCTAAATAAATAAACATCAATATAATTAGATATATTACAAATATAATATTGTTATTGTAGAATATAATGAAAAATCATATATAAAACATGTTGAATTATAAAATAGTAAATATATAATTACCAGAGCAATATTTTTTCTTGTTATTAATATCCATATTCTGTTTTAAATTAATTAATATACATAATTTAATTATCAAATAACCATCATAAGTAAGATCAATATTAAAAATTTTAAATTTTTTAACGAATAAATGAAATTTGTAATAATATAAAACTAAAAGAAATCTATAAAAATTCAAGAAATAAGAAGGAAGAATTTCGTAGGTTACGCTTTTATTGTTTATCGATTACATTTTTACATATATATCTTTTGTTTCCGATATGTTCTTCTTTCATTAAAAGAAAATCGTTAACGGAAAATTTTAGTTCTTACCAGAATTTTAAAATATTTAAATTTTATCTTTTTCAATATCGATTTTCGTTTCTTCACACAATTTAAACATAACATTTTATTATAATAATATTGTTGAATTGAAAAAATTAATTACTATTAAAATATTTAATTTATATACATATAAAATTTATGATATATTTTTATATAAAATTCATAAAAACGAATAAAATTAAAGGATTTATATCAAAAACGATCTTCATCCAATTTCAGTTATAAAGTCTATCACACTTCGTGATTTGATTAGATACATATAACTTTTTTGTAATATAATTAGAATTAATATAGAATTAAAATTATATAATTAATAGAAGAAAATAAAAAATTTTGAATTTATTGAAGAATAATTGAAGATTTTTAAATTTGAAAAAACAAAATATTTTTTTAAAAAAATAAAAATTGATAAAAATTTTTTTTTATATAAATTCTCAAATTTTGATGCATATTTTATTTTAAAAATTAATCATGAATTTAATATTTAATATTAATCAAGAATCAAATTATTATTTTTTTAAACAAATTGAAAGTAGAAATATTAATTTTTGTAATGATATAATGACATCATAACAAATTTTTAAAGAAATTAACAAATTCAAACATTAATAATGAACAAAAAAAATTATATTTAATGTTTTTAAAATAAATTTAAAATAGATTCAAAATCAAATTATAATAATATGCAATATTTAGTCGTTAGGTGCGCTGAGGTCTACCTCTTAATCATATTTTAAGACGACGTAGTTCGCTCTTCTTGTGAGTTGTAAATGGTGGATAGTCTGTCATCGTGTTGCGTTAACATCAGGTAATATGAATTTGTATCTCATTTATGTTTAATTTTTTAAATTATAAATTTAATGAAGAACATGATTTTTACTAATAATTGTTAATCATTCTTCATAAAGAAACTTAATTTTAATAACAAAAATTATTCCATCTTACAATTTTCTTTGGTGACATTTTCGATTACGTAAAATTGTTGCAGTAGACAAAAATAGTCACCTGACTTAATAAATGCAGACAAAACAAATTCCAGAACTTTAGAAATTTAACAGATTTATTTTATATTTTCATATTATATATTAATTAAAATACTATTAATAATTGAATCAATAACCTATAATGGGATTGTATATGAGTGAAAAATATTATTTTTTCATATATTTGGATATAAATGCAATTGTGCAATCGCTATAGCTAGAATTCTATAATGAATTCTACATATATACTTTTTTGAGATGCTTTTTTAAATTTAAAATCTTAGTATTTTTATTTATTCCTTTCTTATTTGTATAAGATGATTGACATTTAATCACTTAAGAGAAATGTCATATATTTCTTATATTTCATTTATTTATAAGTGAACACAATTTTTTTCAAATATTTTAAAAGCTAAAAATCTATTTAAAAAAAATTGACTTTTGCCATTTATTTTTCATTATAATTTTTTTTATAAAATAATCATAAACACAACTTAAATTTGTAAACTTATAGGAATTTGAAAAATATATATATATATTTGCCGATATAAATTACATAATAAAGAAAATTAAGTTAGTATTTTGTTATACGCATTTATTATCGTTTTTTGTTTTGTTCTATTCAAAATCCTATATAAATTTTATATATTTCTAATTGATATATATATTCGTACGATTACTCGTAATATATTGTGATAATTGATAATTCGTTATCGTTTTTATATCATAATTATTATGAACATTTTTTTATTGCTTTCAATTTAAATTGTATAATATTATAATATTATTTATTATAATATTAAAATGAATTTTATGTTAATATAAATTATGATCTAACCTAATATTTTTGGCATATATATTTATTTCTTGTCGTGTAAATTTACATAATGAAATTGAATATAGAGAATTTATTATGAATTCTTATAATATATTTTGACTTTTTAACTTGATTTTAAAATAGATGAATTTTATTTATTTTATATTAATAATATATTATGCTGATTATAGAAGTATTAAATTAATTTATGATATATTTCTTATTTATTATTAATGTTTATGATTGTATATATATATATATATATATATATATATATTANATGCAGAAATTATTTTGTTAATATTCATAAGATATAATTTATTATATATTTATAGTTCGTTTTTTTATATGTAATTATAATAACAAAAAATTTTTTAATCTAAATATATTATTATTTTATCATTATCATTATACTTTAATATTCAAAAAATTATTAATTTATATTGATATCAAATTAACAATTTTGATAATTATATATTGATATATTAAATTATTATTTAGTATATATTATTTATTATCATACAAATATTTATTAATATTAATATTATCACTAATTTTTTTTAAATACTTATTTTCCATAATTGTACATGATACATAAATTGATTGATTTCATCATGTACTAAATTTTAAAGTTGGCAATCATATATGATTGTGCAATTATAATTAAAAGGAAATTTAAAAATATTTTTTTTATAAATAGAATCTTACAAAATGATTTCATAAGAAAATTATTTTTTAGAAAGATATATTAGATTATTTAAGAAAAAATATTAATTTATTTTAAAT